CCTGGTCCTTCTTTAACTGGAGATGCCGGGGATTGAACCTGGGACCTTCTGCATGCCAAGCAGAGGCTCTGCCACTGAACCACAGCCCCTCTTGACAGCTCTCCAGGGTCTCAGGCGGAGGTCTTTCACGCCACCTCTGGCCTGGTCCTTCTTTAACTGAAGATGCCGGGGATTGAACCTGGGACCTTGTGCATGCCAAGCAGCAGCTCTTCCCCTAAGCCACGGCCCTTCTTTACAGCTCTCCAGGGTCTCAGGCAGAGGTCTTTCCCATCACCTCCTGTCTGGTCCTTCTTTAACTGGAGATGCCAGGGATTGAACCTGGGGCCTCCTGCATGCCAAGCAGAGGCTCTGCCCCTGAGCCACAGCCCCGTCTTTACAGCTCTCCAGGGTCTCAGGCAGAGAACGGTCTTTCCCATCCCCTCCTGCCTGGTCCTTTTTAACTGGAGATGCCGCTGGGGATTGAACGTGGGACCTTCTGCATGCCAAGCAGCGGCTCTTCCAGTGAGCCACGGCCCTGCTGGATCAGACCAAAGGTCCATCTGATCCAGCCTCTTGAGTCCCACACTGGCAGGCCAAATGTCCCTGAGGGCCTCCTACAGGGCAGGAAGCCTCGCATTGTCCCTGCCCGGTTCCTTCTTGAGGAGAGAGGCAGGGACTGGTCCTAAGAAGTACAGCACTTCTGAGCCTGGCCGTTCTGTCTTTGGGATACCAGCAGGGAGGGGACAAAGGAGGGCATCTGCCGGCAAGGGGCAGTCCTCGCGTTCCTTTTTACCTTGGGGGCCTCTCCCCTGGGGCCCAGGGGCAGCCTGAGGATCCAGAAGTTCCGGTTCTTGAGCAGGTTCTCCATGTTCTCCAGCCTCCTCTGGAGCAGGCCGTACTCCTGGATGAGGGTCCCCAGGGCGGCCACGTGGTTGCTGAACTCCAGCTCCGTCTTCTCGCACTCGAAGATCTTCTTCTCGGCCGTGGCCGTCCTCCCCTCCAGGTTGAGCAGCCGCGTGGCGTAGGAGTCCACCTTCCGCTCCACCGCCTGGATGGCGGCCACCACCGTCCACAGGGAGATCTCGGCCGTCGGGTAGATCTCCCGCTCAGCAGTCTGCTCGAAGAGGGCAGGGGGCTGGAAGGGCGCCAGGTGCTGGGGCTCCACGTCCCATTCCCAAGCCTGCGGGGAAGGAGGGAGCCTGAGAGGTTTTGGCGTGCCAATTTTAGCCAATCAAAGGGAAAGGGGATTTAGAACAAGAGAGCTGGTACAGAAGAAGAGTTGTTCTTTCTTGCAAGAGGGCAGAGCCAGAAGGAAGGCTGCTTCAGGGAAGAGACCCTCCTCCCGAGAGGAAGGGTGAGCAGACTCAGGCCCAACTGAGACAGTGAGCTGGGGACTGGGAGTCTAGTCGCATTAGAAGAAGAGGAGACTGGATTTATTTTCCGCCCTTCACTACCCAAGGGAGTCTCAGAGCGGCTTACAAACTCCTTTCCCTTCCCCTCCCCACAACAGACACCCTGTGAGGTGGGTGGGGCTGAGAGAGCTCTTGACAGAAACTGCCCTTTTTCAAGAACAGCTCTTATCAGAGCTACGGCTTGCCCAAGGTCATCCAGCCAGGCGCGAGTGGAGGAGGAATGGGGAATCAAACCTGGTTCTCCCAGATTAGAGTCCGCGCACTTAACCACTATACCAAACCGCTATACCAAACCGCTATACCAAACCGGCTCCTAGAAGGAGGTGGAAGACCCCGCCCTTCACTACCCAAAGGTGTCTCAGAGCGGCTCACAAACTCCTTTCCCTTCCCCTCCCCACAACAGACACCCTGTGAGGTGGGTGGGCCTGAGAGAGCTCTTGACAGAAACGGCTCTTTTTCAAGGACAGCTCTTGTCACTTGGACAGAGGCCGGCTGTGGGAGCACACGCTGACGTGCACTATGGCCCATACCCGGAACGAGTCGCGGTGACTAGAGGAAGACCTGCGCCAGAAAAAGACGTCGTCGCCCGGATCGGAATAAGGAGACCTCCCGCAATAAGAGACTATAACAGCAATGACTCCGCTATGGGTGCCTGTTAGGTTAGCCACTCCCCCTCATCTGTATGTGTGTGGCCCTAGGAAGTAATTGAAATGAAATGTATACTGTAAACCGCTCAGAGCCCTTAGGGGGTGAGCGGTCTATAAATTGAAGGAAATAAATAAAATAAATAAAATCAGAACCATGGCTTGCCCAAGGTCATCCAGCAGGTGCGAGTGGAGGAGTGGGGAATCAAACCCAGTTCTCCCAGATTAGAGTCCGCGCACTTAACCAAACTCTAAGAAGTAGTGAGAGCTTAAGCTTCAGGGGAGGAGCCTTCTGTTGTAGGGAATAAGAAGTAAAAGGAGAAGGAGGAGGAGAAGAGAAAAAGAGATTGGATTTGTACCCCGCCCTTCACTCGGAGTCTCAGAGTGGCTTACAACCTCCTTTCCCTTCCCCTCCCCAGAAGAGACACCCTGTGAGGTCGGTGGGGCTGAGAGAGCTCTGACGGAAACTGCTCTTTTTCAAGGACAGCTATGACAGGACTACGGCTTGCCCTAGGTCATCCAGCAGCTGCAAGTGGAGGAGGAGTGGGGAATCAAACCCAGTTCTCCCAGATTAGAGTCCGCGCACTTAACCACGACACCAAACTGGCTGTGAAGTCTTGTGAGCAAAAATTCTGCATAAATTAGTTTGCTCTGGAGCCCTCCTTCCTGTGTGAGCCGGAGGCTAAAAAAACTGTGAGCTAGCTCACGCTAACTCAGCTTAGAGGGGACAATGCTTATAACTACCAGAGCTGTTCAAGTTCCTGACAGAGAGAATCACACCGAGTTCAGAACTCTAGACCTCTCTCTTTGTTCAACTTTTCCTTTCCTCCTACCTCTGTGCAATATTCTGCGTAATAATGAGGAAAATTATTTCCTTTCTTCCCATTGTACCTGTGGAATTGAGCTCTGACTCATGCACGCTTGTGCTGGAATACATACTTTTAGCCTTTAGGGCACCACGGGGCTTCTGTTTTGTTTTGCTATGGTAGACCAACATGGCCATCCCTCTGGAATCATTATGGAGAAAGCAAAGAGTTAAGCAAAGGCCCAAGCAACATACAACTTCAACCTCTGGTACAGACTGAAAGCTGCCATTCCCGGGAACTCTCAAAGGGGTCAGAGTGACATTGTTTTATCCCTTAGCACCTGTTGGGTGACCACTCCTTATGCTTTGCATTGGAAGCTGGAGTGGAGACAAGATGGTGGAGTTAGAAAAGGTGAGACAGTAATGATTTGGAAAGGTTCGCAAGTGTATGAGGCTGCAGAGGGGTCTGTGCGCTGGAGGCCTCCAAGTTTTGGGCCGTGCCTGATAGTGGACTGCAGAGGGTTGGCACGGAAACCAGTTTGGTGGAGTGGTTGGGAGCGCGGACTCTAATCTGGGAGAACCGGGTTTGATTCCTCACTCCTCCACAAGCAGCTGCTGGTGTGACCTTGGGCCAGTCACAAGTTCTCTCAGAGCTGTTCTCTCAAGAGCAGTCCTTAAAAGAGCTCTCTCAGCCCCACCTGCCTCACAGGGTGTCTGTTGTGGGGAGGGGAAGGGAAAGGAGATTGTAAGAGATTGAGAGCCAGTATGGTGTCGTGGTTAGGAGCGCGGACTCTAATCTGGGAAAACCGGGTTTGATTCCCCACTTCTCCACATGCAGCTGCTGGTGTGACCTTGGGTCAGTCGCACGTTCTCTCAGAGCTGTTCTCTCAAGAGCAGGCCTCGAAAGAGCTCCCTCAGCCCCACCTACCCCACAGGGTGTCTGTTGTGGGGAGGGGAAGGGAAAGGAGACTGTGAGTGGCTCTGAGACTCCTTCATATAGTGAAAAGCGGGGTATAAAAACCAACTCTTCTCCTCCTCCTCTTCCTGGGTTGCCTTTTAAGGGTCACAGCATCTCATCTCAGCAAGAAAAGACACGGGCTGGGCAAAGTCTCT